GTATTTAAATTCACATGCACCAATATTTTCTTTTGGGGTTTAAAATGATGACTTCATTGTAATTTGTACACAAGGACTAAACACATTGTTGCCTGTAGTACTGATGGCCGTTTTGTCTTCATATCATTGTATTTTGTCACAAAATAATGTTTAACCTTTATTTTGGGCAATATCTTGCAGTTTCTTCACATGGTTCATCTTCTGGAGAAGTTAGATTGGACAATGTCTCCGCAAACAGTTTACATGAGGATAGAATGAAAGAACAATTCCTTGAAGATACACTTGTTAAATGCAGTGGTTCTCATAGGGATGAAAATCTTGATGTTCCTGTATCTGAAGTTGAATCAGTTATCCAAGATGAAGCTCTTGACCTTGGCAGCAATAGGTATGTTTTGGATGACCTTTTCTCATGGCTGTGTAAATATATACAAAGTATTGCATCTCCTCCCTCCCTCCCTCTCATTATGTTTATTGAGAATTTAATGTAGGGATGGTAAACGAGGAAAAAATAAAACACTCAAGGTATCAGAATCGACACAACGGGAGTCACCTGTTACTGACAGCAATTGTATTACTATAACCCCGGGGAGTGTTGTATGGGCAAAAACATCATGTCAAGTGTGGTGGCCTGCGGAGGTATTTAGGAAGTTATGTAATTCGAAGCAAATGAAAAGTAGGATTTCTAAGCCTTGCAGTGTTGAATATTCATGCAAAATCTCTTCTCAGTTTGCCGGAGTAGAAATATTGTATTTTGTTGAATTCGGTCATAGTCACTGATTACTGATTTAAGATCTCTCCATACGAATATCTCATAGATATATATGTGTATTCTTTTTTCCTTTGGCTTTTTTGGTTGCCTCTAGTCTAACTTTCTCTTAACATTAGTCGATACCATGAATTAGTTTATGGCATGGGAGAGGTGAGCTGCTGATGTTTCAACACCTCCTGTCTTTTTACCCTGACTTCATAACTTGTTTGTGTTTATTTTAAAAATATTATATCAGATCATGGAAGAAAGACCCACCTTAGCAGGCCAGACCTGCGATGGACATGTCTTGGTGCAATTTTATGGGAATCGACCCTGGTACTGTAGCCTACTTTCAGTATCATGCGAGTTTCATAGATGTGCCTAACATGTTTAAAGATTGAGCTGAATATTACTTTGTCGCTTTACAGCGCTTGGATTGATCCATTGAAAGATCTTTCAGCATTTGAGGATGTGAGTTTGGTTCTTTTCTAACCGTTCTGTCTCACATGGAAGCTAATTATTGTTCTCGAGTCCTTCTTTGGGATATTGCATTTTAAAACACCTTCCTGGAACTGAATCCTGTAGAAAGAGGACTAATAAGAACCTCTTAAAAGAAAAGTCATCCCGCTGCCACCCATAGTTGCTGCCAGGCAGCACGTATTTCATGGGGCATTCTGTGGACCATTTAGTGGAGAAGCTAGTAATTTTCACTTTTCATATCCTTCTACCCTACTTTGTCTTTTGTTTCCCAATCTCTGACCTGTGGAGAAGAGGGGCTGTTGGAGAAATAGGACCTTATTTTTAGCATGGGGGATGGTTCTACCTCCTTTGTTTCTCTTAACCAGTGTTTATCAATATCTGATGTCTGTGCTGCCTCCCCCCCCCCCCTTCCGGTTACAGTCTTTTGAAGAAAGGAGCGGTAACCCGGCAAAAGACTTCCAAGATGCTCTAAAACAAGTATGTTCATCTAAAGCAGTTCTGTATGCCCTGACTCAAGCATATTTTTTAATTGTAGCTTAAAGAATTTTGTGTTTCATTTGTCCTCTTATTTTACCGTAGGCTTTGCAGAGGAAGGGGCAACTTATTTCGCACAGTAAGTCCAGTCCCCAAAGGACTGCTCGCTCGGATCTGCAAGATCACTCATGTGGTATAAGATTGCTTTTTAACTTTCAAACTAATATCCTTATAGTCTTCTGCATTTGTCTTGAAAATACTGGACTATTTATCACCTAGCCATCTCCAAGAGAATCGCGTATACTGTTTCATATCATACGCTTATCATTGTCAGGTATAGTAGTATGTTCATTTGAAAGTTATGGCTGCCACTAATGAAGATTTAAGGCACTTCTTTTGTTTATTGATGTTGTTATTATAGTATTTATTTATGATTTGATCAGAAAAATGGACTTCATCAGCCTCAAGCAAAACGATAGATGACTTAAAGGAGAGGGAAGGGGTAAAAGAGAACGCAAGCGCAAGCTTCATTTTGATGTAAGTCTCTACCCAGTTCTTGGCATGGCTTTTACATTATTTTAGAAGGACTTTATCTGTGTAGTGCTTAGATAATGATATTATTTTGTAGGAGGTGGCATCTCCTCCGAAATCAGAAAGAAAGACTCGCCGGTTGAAGATAATGCGGTACCTGGGCCTTATTGCTCCTGTTGGTTCTCCTTTTATAACCGGAGTGTGCCCCTAATGTAAATATCTTGGCCCTTTCTTACCAAATGGGCCCTCCTTTTTTGACTACGATCGTGACTGGTGTCTATTTTAGAGAGTTTCATTCTTCTAAATTTCACTCGGGCACATTGCACAGCGTTTTTCGGGATTAGTTATATAGTGTTATTTAAAAAATAAAGATCTAACCGCTCTTTCTTTCTTTCTTTCTTTCTTTTTTTTGTTGTTGAGGTGAAATCCATTTTTACATTGCTTCATTTCTCACTGAAGCCCTTGTTCGCAACCGGTGGAAATGCTAACTATGGTTGCATTTTAGTCCTTGCAGTGTGGAATTGACGGTCAAAGGTAGCAATTTTTTTTTCCCCGACTGAAAGGTAATGATACTAATAGAATGAAATCGAATGAATGATGCTCGCTTTAAATTGATTTGGTATGGTGTGAAAATGATAGAATGGAATTTTTTATAAAAATATAAAAAAATAAAAGTGAATTAACTCTTGCCTCACAAAAAAAAAGTCTTGCCTACTTGTGCTAGTGGTTAAAAAAAAAATTGCATCTCAAGAGGGGACAACTAATATTATACTACTGGTTCTTATTATAAGACCCTATTTGATTTTTATTTTGGCTCTAAATATTAGACTCCAATCCATTTTATCTCTCATATTTATACATTTTTTTTCTCAAAGTAATTCTTCTAATAATAAGAGTTCTAGTCAATACACTTGATTAGTAAGGATATTTTAGGAAATATAACATCTATTTAGGACAAATAACTAACTCAATTTACTTTTTTAATCTCTTCAAATTAGTTAACTGGCTTTTATAATTAGGACAGAAGTAGTATTTAGCAGTAAAAACAGCCCCTCTTTGTTTTTTTTCAAAAAAATATTATCATCTGGTTAAGTCAATTCGGGATTCATGGTTTTTTCTTCCTATAAAAGTATCTTCTTCAGGACTCATACTTGAGACCCAAAAAGATCTAATAGAGTTTTACATTGTTAGACCAATTCTTTGTTGATATGACTCTTCTTTGATATTGAATTCAGAAAGTGGAATTTGAATTAAGTAAACTATAGTAAGAAATTAAGGGCTTATTTGATTTCTTGTTTTAAAAACAATATTTTGTTTTTAAAAATAAAAAAAATAAAAAAAACATTTTTTGATAATTTATTTTTGGTTAATTATTTTAAAATTTAAAAAACAAAAGACTGTAACATGTTTTGAAAAACTAAAAAATCAAAATAATTTTTACATGTTTTCTTATTTTTTTTTTTTTAATCTTGAAAAAATTTGAGAAGTCTTTTTCTCTTCTTACTTACTATCTATCATCCATTAGCAATAACTATCAAATGTCAAGTATGATTTTTTTAATGATTTTTTTGAAATGCGGTAAATATCAACAACACAAGTTCTTAGTACATCACAAAAAATGTAATGCATGAGTTATCAATAACTGTCACGATAATCGTTACTTGTTACACCTTAAGTTATTAATGATTACACTTTTAGTTACTAATACGTACTTAAAAAAACGGTAATTTGATAATTCAACAAATAGAATTTATTACAACGAGGTCGTTTGAGATTTCAAATTAATTTGATGATTTTAAATGATTTTTTTGTATGCAATTTTCTTGATTGGGATCTCATTACAATTTTCTCAAAAAAAAGATCCATCAATAATATGGGAAAAAAAATCCATCAAGAGTATCAATTAATCTTGAAGGGTGAAATTTGACACAGTATGTATACCAATAATCAATGCAATACATAAATAAGGAAAAATTTTGCCATCACATAAATATGGAAATTAATCCATTGAAGTTTTTTAAAAAAATATTAATTCATCAATACAGCTGGTAAATCAATCAATTTAACCGTTATTTTTTTTTTTGGCCAACTAACCATTAGTGTAACACGGTAAACATTAACACCATACAAATAAGGAAATTAATGAGTTTCCTTTTATTTACCTATCAATTAACTAATGAATCAGTTAAATGAAGTGCGTAAGACTGCGAGCAACTAATAGACTGATCAATCAAATATATCAATTATTGCATCGATACAGCTGGTGTTTAATCACTCAATGACCACTGCAAGCATAAATAGGGAAAGAAATCAATCAATTGAAGTTCAAAAAAAAAAAAAGAAAAATCGTCAATACACATGCGGCTGGATCATCGGTCAATTAACCAACCTATTTAGCCGTCACTGTAACGAAGGCGCGCCAGAATCCTCTCCCCACAGAGGCTGGGGGATCTTTCACTCAAAAAAGGACGGTGGGATCTTGAGGAGACTGGTAGGTGGCCAAGTGAAAATCTAGTATACAGTGTAAATACCATACAAATTACCGCACTTGTGAACGGAGAAAAAGGAAGGGTGGCGTTCCTTCGTCGGTGTTGGGTTTCTTATGTTGTCTGCTGCTCTACCTTCCCCGTGGTTTGTATTTTGTGCAGTTCTTCCATGGCTTCTGGGAGTTCAATTACTGCACCTGGTACATTCTTCATCTCCAATTGCGATATTTGGTTACTTTTCGTGATCTTCGATCTCATAGCTACGCTTTGTTGCAGAGCGCCGTGCAGGTGCTGGTGTCGTTACTAGCCGATGATTCTTCCGCTGTCAGGGAGGCCTCCATGGCCTCACTCAAAGACATTGCTGCTCTGTCATTATCTCTCTACCTACCTACACTAGTTTACTCATTTATTCCTCACGAAACTTAACTGAATATTGGGTCGAATGTGTTTGCAGGGATCCTCTTTTAGTTCTCGAGTGCTGTGCAGTGGTTTCACGAGGAGGACGTCGGGTACTTACTTTTGCTTTTCCATTCACTAGATATGATTAATTCCTCGGTAATTTGGGGTGTTGAATATTTTGTTGTTGGAATTTTTTTAGCGATTCGGAAACATGGCTGTTGTTTTCCAAGTGATGGCATTTGGAGTTCGCTCTCTGGACGAAAGAGAAGTCGATGATTCTTTCATGGCAAGCTCGCTAAGATTGCTACAGCTGAAATGATATCCTCGAAGGTAATGTGTTTTATCATGCGGGACGATGTTGCTTCTGGTCAACTGGTACACGAGTTCTTAAGATTCATGCGACTGTTCTTCTGCAGGAAATCAATTCGGATTGGCAACGAGCTGCATCTGGTCTACTTGTCGCAATTGGTTCACATTTGCCTGACCTAGTAGGTTTTATTTCTTTTTTTTTGTAAATTATTTATTTAATAGACAAGAGAAGAACAATTTCATGGCATGGATGGAGGTAGAAAAGTATGGCAAGCAAAATGAAAAATATTTCCGAGATTAAACATCCCAGTCTCTCTGAATATTAGCTCAAGAAATCCCATAAAGATGGTTGGGTTTGTTATGAATTCAATGGCTCTTTCATTTCTTTTCCGACAAGATAAATTTCTATATTATTATATTACACTTTACAATGCTAATTATGCACTCCCTATTTGCACCTTTCAGCTTTCACTTTCATTGATAGTATGTTGCTTCTATGTTTTTAAACCATTCATTTATTTCTCTTTCTTCTTGTTTTTCTGGATTTTAGCTAACTTAAATCTTGTCTCAATCTCTCATTTGAATGGGTATTGCAGATGAGGGAGAAATTTTTCTTCATTTATCTGGGCCGAATTCAGCATTACTCGCTATGGTCCAACTACTTGCAAAATTTGCTTCCACTGATCGTAAGCAATCAAAATTTCTCTTTGTGATTTAATCTCCATAATCATCATCTTATTTTCTTCAGTATATTGATTTTTTTGGGCGGTGGAATTAGCCTCGTAGTAAGTTCTGATGTTTATCTACACTGGAAAAACTTTTTTTTTTTTGGGGGGGGGGGATACAGTGAAAACGTTTCTCAATCGTTTAATATAGTGACGAAAAGTCTCTAAAAAACCTCAGAAATAAGGGAAATTCCCAAATGCTTGATGTGCGTCTGCCAATAGAAAATGCAGCACGGGGGGAGATCTAACCTTCTTTTTGAATTAGGCCCCTGTTTAGTCTTCAACTTCACTGTACTGTTTTACATTGGAAAATCTTTAAACTTCACTATACTGTAGCATTTGATTTAAATGGGTTCTGATATTATTAGCAGTTTATTGAAGATTCTGCTGGGGTGGCTAATAGGACTGAGAAGATCATGTAGGCCTTCGTGTGGTTTGGGGCTGGTAAGAGTAGGAGAGTGAAGTGACCACTTAATTTAGTTGAGAGGTTTGATGTGGGTCAGAGGATTATGAATGGTTGGGTTATGTGTATTTGTTTATCCAAAATGATATTTTAAAATCACCTTCTGCGTTGTGAAGTGGCTTGGCATATTTGGAATGGGCTGTTCGTTATGTTTGATGAGAATTGGGCTTGACTGGCTATCTTTCAAGCCATCAAGTCCATAGGTCTTGGCCTACAAAAGGAGCACAAATTCTCTTCGGGTTTTGGCATGTTTATAGTGTCTTTGGTTGGAATAGAATGCAAGGATGTTTAGTCAAAAAGTTCATCTCACAAGTCCTTGGGACGTTTAGTCAAAAAGTTCATGTCACAAGTCCTCGGGAGAGGATTATCATTATGTTTTCGTGGGTTTGATGAATGGTTTCTTCCCCCTTGGGAATCTTCTGAGGGATAAGTGCTCATCCGCAATGGAGCTTACTCTGTATTCTTTTTATTTCCACTTTTGTTTGATAAGGTCTCTTGTCGTCTGCTTTTGTTTCTCTGTCTATTTATCTTTCTTACCTATACGTTGTTTTTTTTGTTTGTTTACATTTAAAAAAAAAAAAAACTTTGTTGGAT